GATCTTAAGTCTCTACCCCTCATGATTTAAGACTTTCTTTCCCTTCCTCGATCGATCTCCTGAGTATGTTTCGAGGTATGTTGCAAAAGTATATCGGGATGTTGCATACGTTGTAATGGTTGTACACTTATGTTGCAAACGTCTGTCCTCAATGTTTCATTTGTTTTTAGACGTATGTTGCAAGTGCGTTTATCTGAAAGTTGCGTATGTTTTACGCATATGTTGCAAATGTTTTATATGGATGTTGCGTATGTATTGCAAAGGTTTTCAAGTGTTTCATGTGTTTTCGCAAGTGTTTCAGGCGCATGTTTCAAATGTTCCATCTGTCTTTAGACGTATGCTGCAAATGTTTCATCTGGATATTTCGAAAGTATATCGGGTGTTGCACATGTTGCAATGGCGCCAGTGGCTGGCGGCCAGCGCCCGTAGGGCTTCAGCTCCTACCTTGCACCTTCCTCGTGCGGCGCGCTTGCCCTCTCCTCTCCCTCACCTCCCTTTCATTCCCTCTATCTCGCCGTGCGTGGTGGTTTGAGCTGGTGGGAAACCCTACCCGACCAGCATGCAAACGCCCGCAGAGGTGGTGGCCCCGGGTGGGTCAACGGCAGTGCGATGCTCGAGTAGTGGCCCGGAGCAAGCTGAGGTCCACGCCATCCGCTAGCTACGCGCAGGAAACAAGCAACCGCGGGTGTCCAGATCCGGGCATCCGCCCGGACGTCCGGTCGCTAGTGACGCTCAGTAAAAAAAGCAAATATTGCATTGCATGTATACACAGTTTTAGCATGCGATACGGATGATTTCCTTTCCTGCACTTACTATAAATAAATAATATAGATATTTTTATTATTACTATAGTACAGTAATAGTAAAAAATAAATAGGGAAATAAGTGAAGGCAGGCAGCTTTTGCTTGGTGGAAAAAGTCCACATTACCTCCCTTAATTTTCGTGAAAATCTGTTTTTTCTCCCTGAACTTCAAAACCGGGCAAAACACCTCCCTCAACTTTTAAAACCATTCATGTTACCTCCCTGGTCCGGTTACAAGCGGCTTTGAAGACAGTTTTGTCTTTTTCTTTTTTATTTATTTTGGCTGAATCTTTAAAAAATTATAGTAAATCATAGAAAATCATAAAATAGAAAATCATAAAATAGAAAATCCAATTTTGTTGGACTCCACATGAGTAAATCTACACGGTGAACATATAATATGGTATGCTTTAGTACAAAGTTTTTCTGTAGCTTTAGATCTATGTTTTTCTGTAATTAAATGGAATAATTCATAGCTGCAGTTTTTATGGTCCAATTGTGATGAAATTTTTATGGTGGACTAATTATTGTATGCTTAAACTATAGTAAAAAATTCATACTCATTGGATCATGTATAGCTTAGTTATAGATCTTATTTAGGTTTATGTTTGTTAAATATAAACAAGAGTTGTTAAGTTTTCTTGAGTGGAAACAGGACAAAAAAAAATCAAACGAATTTCACATACAACTCCACACAAAGATCACCCAAACCTAAGTCGACTAAAACGGAGCATCAAAACGGCATAGATTTTTTTGCTTGTGATTTGGAGATGGTGTTGGATTCTCAGTGCCCCGTTAGGCACTTGGAATCCTAGAAAGTTCAGGTGCCTGCTTCGTTAATTCAGATCTGCTACCGTAAGAATTTTTTTTTCCAGTGTCCTACCCACCAGTTATTAGAAAGCCTGTGCACGACCATAACAGCTATAACAGCTACAGTATATATATATATATATATATATATATATATATATATATATATATATATATATATATATATATATATATATATATATAGAGAGAGAGAGAGAGAGACGGTAGGAGATCATTATGTAATTGGCTATAAAAATAACTCATTCTGTAGCCACTTTGAGTTACGATAATTACTATGTTAATTTACGATATTATAGTAACTTCTTAATGTTATGGTAAATATCTCCATATGTTATAGTAACTCAACTATCGTAAATATGTGTTGACATTATCGTAAATTAGTATATAAAATTATCGTAAATGAAAGTGGCTACAGAATAATTTATTTTGTAGCTGGCTACTGAATATAACTGGCTATAAAATAACTTATTCTGTACTTACTTTGAATTACGATAATTACTATGTTAATTTATGATATTATAGTAACTCCTTGCTAAGTGGTTTATTATAACGTTATGGTAAATATTCCTATGTGTTATAGTAACCCAACTATCGTAAATATGTATTGACATTATCATAAATTAATATATAAAATTATCGTAAATGAAGGTGGCTTCTGAATATACTCTCTCTCTATGTGTGTGATACGCAGCACAGCAGCAGCAGGCAGCAGAAGAACATAACATAATGCAAGCTAATTAAGGTAGATTTAGTACTATATTATACCAGTACCAGCTAGCTAACTAGTAGCTAGGCTGCTGCTGCATGCATGCTGGAAGGAGAAGATCCGTGCAAGGAAGTACTTGAGTACTTGACAAGCATGGCCTTGTTTAGATTCTAAGTTTTTTCACTCTCTTTTTATCATATCAAATTTTTGAACACGAGTATTAAATGTAGGTAAAAAAAATAATTAATTACACAGTTTGATTGTAAATTACGAGACGAATCTTTTGAGCCTAGTTAGATCATGATTAGATAATAATTGTCAAATACAAATGAAAGTGTTATAGTGTCAAATACTGATGCCTAACCGCAAACTAAACCAGGCCTAGGATGAAGCAGCCGAGGCCGCCCATGATGCCCCCAGAGACCGTACCGCCTGTGCACGGCCACTGTGGGGCCAGCCGCCCCTGCTCGGACCCATGACGAGCTCCATCATGTCGACGACGGCCACCCCCACGAGCCCGACGCCGGAAAACAGAGACATCACCTCCTTAACCCAGTCCATTGTCGGTCGGCGGTGGTTCAGATGCTGCCCGCCTGCTCGTCGTTGCACTCGGCCTCCTGATGGGTGGTTCTCTACATCCTCCTCCTCCTTCCATAGCCAATTAGCCATATATAGGCAGCCAGGCAACGATGCAGGCCAGATTAGTTGGAAGTGGACAGCAGATGGAGAATACAGCACAAGCAGTGCCTCAGTTCGTTGGTGTCTGCAGTAAGATGAGACTAACTCCAATTTGGAAGGCTAGAGCGGAGCACAAATGTGGATTCTTTGCGTGGACTTTGATGCATAAGAAAATTCTCACAGCAATCAACCTATTCAAGAGAGGATGGACCGATGACACTGATCTTGACTGTAAGCTCTGCGGTAATGAGCCGAAAACTCCGGTGCACCTTTGCAAGGACTGCCCTTATACCAAAGAGGTTTGGGCCACACTGAGACGGTGGTCTGATCTTTCGGCACTAGATTCAGTTAGCGATTCAGGTTCGCTACACGCTTACTGGTGGAGGTGCCGGAGAAAATTTGAGAAGAGACAGAGAAGGGAGGTGGATGGCATTTTCATCTATTGGTGGTGGAATATATGGAAGGAAAGGAATGGAAGAATTTTCCAACAAGAATCTCTAAACCCAATCAACACATGTGGCTACCCTGTGCAAGAATGATGTTCTGTCGGTTGGCTTTGGCACCAAGGAATGAAGCGCCTCAACCGGATTAGTGAGGTATTTTTCTTTAGACAGTCTTCCTTCCAGTTATGGTACGGTGCTAGCAAGCCTTCTCCCCCAGCGTTGTTTGGGTGCTTCTTTAGTTTTTTCGGGTATTTTTAGTCTAAGTTGTTTTTTTTGTTGCCAGTTGGGGAGGAGCCGCCGGGTGATGTAAATCTTTGTACAGTTTTTACCTTGCAAGGCTTTTGCCGTCCGTTCTAAAAAAACGATGCAGGCCAGACCTGCTATACATATATATACTGTAATTGTACAAGTACATGATTATATAATAAGTAGAATCCTGCAGAGAGATCGATCGCTTGCATATTGGAAAGGCAATCTAACTGTTAATTAATTTCCATACACAGTTTTCATATCGTTCGTCGGCCCGCAAACTAAATAATTTCCTTTTGTGGACTACTAAAATGGAAAGAACTCTCAAGTTTGTACTGCAGCATGCTTGTGTTATTAGTGCCATACATAGTAATGAGAAATTTTGATATTTAACCCTTAGACCCGTCCTGTCCGCTTGCCAGTCCGTCCAACCCGGCAGGCAGGCGCTAGGGTTGGGGGCCCCTGCGTCGTCCAGCAGCGGGTTGCCCCTTCGCCCTCCACAGGCTGGCGGGTGAAGGGGCCATGACGGCGTTGCTCCACCGGCTCCATGGGTCCTGCGGGTAAGAGCTCTCAAATGAGAGATGAGTATTTTCGTCTTTTCCCCTGTCCCAAACGATGAAAAGAGGCCCCTGGAATTACTAAAAGAGAGAAAACCTCGAAAATAATAAATATCAAAACAATTCACATGCCCAGGGTTATATTTGAAAAGGCCTGCAAATTCGATGTCAAATGTTGAGGGCTGCGAATTGAGGGTTAAATATCAAAATTTCTCGCTGAATATGAAGGGGAACCAGCTTTTACAATGCACAATTCGCTATGGAAACAACTTAGACAAGGCATAATTACCTAGTTACTTCAAATTTGATACAATAAACTTTGGACTTAATATGGACCGTAGCGTTAGCACGGGTAATATACTAGTATGAGAAGGTTATGAAGTTTTTCGTGCAACATATTATTACCGGTTCAAGCCATAATCCCGCAATGATGACCCAATATCACTATCGGTTTATGGCTAAAACCGACAGTGATATGAACCAGTTGTGATGATCCCAATATCACTGCCGATTGATTCTATCACTGTCGGTTTGAGCTGCAAAACGGTAGCGATATGCCGGCAGCACTGTTATCGCCGGTTTGTTACGAACCGACGGCAGCAGTGAAAATAAAATCTGTAGCGTGTATTATTTAATATTTTAGGCTGCTAGAAGATCTGACACTACATGCATACATACATTAATATAAGGACTCTCTCCCTCTGTCTGTCTGTCTGTGTGTGTGTGCGCGAAATCAGAACACTAGACCGGATCCTTTGAACTTGTCCTCCACGAGGCGATCCATTTTTTCTGCCATCTCCTTGCTCATGTGATTGGCCCAGTCCCCGACCTTCCCTTTCCTAAACACGGAAGAGCGCTGGAAGAAAAGCTTGCCCCCTGCCGCCTCAACACCATCTGAATCTGATGCTTTATTAGCTTGAAAGTTGCGAAGTGAGTCGAAGCTGCAGAAGCTGACAACCTGCTGGGCAACTCCACGGTCGTCCTCCTCCTGAGTGAAGGGGACACCGAGGAAGCTCGCAAGCTTCCTGGCAACCTCGAGCGTGTCAGACGCCATCTGTTCGTACCTGAGAAACATCACCTCTCGTGGCCTCGCCGAGCTCTCTTTCCAGTACTGAAGGTAGTGCTCCCAGAAAGGGCCGAAAGGAGAGCAGCCCTCGCAGAACATGGCGAAGGCAGCGTCGAGGCCGACCGGGGCCCCTGTGCCGATCATGTTCTCAAAGTGCCACCTTGAGACGAAAGCATCCTTGGGATCCCGGCAGAGGTACACCACCCTGCAGCCGAGGGTCGAGACGGCGGGCGGGAGCAGCGAGAGAGGCAGATGGGTCGAGAGCAGCCTCGGCGACGGCAGCGTCTCCAGATGGTCGAGGTCTCCACCACCCGTGGAGCTGAAGCCAATGAAGGGCACGGCCATCTGTGGGTGGGTTGTGAGCAGAGGGTGGTCGCTGAGGCTGCAGCGGGAGCGGTTGAAGATGGTGAAGGCGAGGGCCTTGAGCCAGTTGGTTCCGCTCTTCGGGTGCGTCGCCAGGATGATGTCGTCGCCGCGGGGCTTGAAATTGTCTCTCACGGACATGAATTTTCCTAGCGTGTGTGATCTGAGCCAGCACTGGTTGTAGAGGGTGAGAGGCGTCATCCATCCTTCCCTTGTGGGAAGTCTAGCTACAAGATCAGCTTCTTCACTGTTGCTACTTTCACTCGGGTAATTAGTGAAGCTCTCCTTGATCTCAGAATGAACTTGCGCCATGCGGATAGGATCTAGAGTGTATCGGTAACGGTACTCGCTTCTTCTTTTGCCAATGAAATTTTGGGGTCTTCACTCATGCTATTATATATATAGATGGGGATTAGCTGGTGGATGAGCGTGTGTGTGTGGGTGGGTGGATCATGGGTGTGGTTGGGGGTTGGGATCGGAGGAGGATGCAGAAGGGGAGTGAAAAGGGCTTGGATAATCTCTACTAAAAAGCGTGGCGCAAGTGAAGAAATATTAGGGTAACGATAACATCCCACGCTTTTTAGCACTCGCGGCAAAGACATCATCCAACCAAAATAAATCTAAGGCTCATATTAAGATTTTGATAAAAGATTGAGTCAATAAATAGGTGGCTAGTATATGCACCTATCATGAAGTTGAGAGAGCCGAAGAGCATGCCACGTGCACGCGCGCTGAGATGAGCCGTGACATGGTGTGCACATGTTTGACATGGCACGATGCGGTGTGGATGTGCTGGTTTTGTCACTTAAACAATTGATGACGTCTGTTAAAGACTCATCAAAGGAGTCGTTGCCGAATCAATGTCTCCATAAGTGATCCACAGTTACTCCATTCATTCCTCACAGCAACGTCTTGTGTGTACCTAAAATTCTCCACAAGTGATCCATAGTTACAATCGTGTATCTAAAGATGTTGGCCTCCGTAAATCGATTTTAGGAGACCTATGCTCAGAATGAGCGTCTCTAAAAATCATCGATTAGCGGAGGCGGTCGTCTTAAAATGCCCATCTTCGAAAAACGATTTACGGAGGAGGCGGACATCATAAGACGACTGCATCCATTAATCAATGATTTTGGAGGCTATCGCCTTAGGACGCCCACATTTGTAAATCATTTTCTGGAGTCGAGCATTTTTCTAGAGCCCGCCTGAGCATTTACCGTTGGATTATCTATTAATTCAAACGTTTAACTGGAGAGTACGTATTTTACTATATTTATACTGGTTGGATTTGTTCATTAATTCTAGCACCTAACCGGTGAGTATGTACTTTTCCATGTTAGCAATGTTTAGACCTTATTATACGTACAAATTTGTTAAGTTGGTATATTTATTTTAGCAGATTACAAATTGTTGGACCAATTTGTACCTACCTATCAAGTTATTGCATGATGGGAGCAATTTACTCTTTAGAATTTGAGATGCTGAGTCATGGAGTTAGCACGAGCCTCATTGAGCTTAAGATAATGGCTTCACACCTATACCAAGTTTAATATGAGGATGGGCTTCACGCCTACCAAATTTAATTTGAGGAAGAGACGGCTTTTACTTTCGGTGGAGAACCCCCTCTAGTCCTGGTTCTCCACCCAGGAGCAAGCATCCGGGACTAAAGGGGGTCCTTTAGTCCCAGGTCAGGAACCGGGACTAAATAGGGACCTTTAGTCCCGGTGGGTAACACCAACCGGGACTAAAGGTGCCTCCTGACATGCCACAAGGCCGGCACCCTTTAGTTCCTGTTGGTAATACCAACCGGGACTAAAGGTTTTTTTTTTCTTTTCTTTTCATTTTTTTGTTTTCTTTTCAAAATAGGTTTTCGAAGTCGTATTGTACGCTGCTAATAATACATTTATACGCGCGTATAGTATGTTTCGGTTCAAGCACAATGAACGTATTAAATGACACAATTCAAGCATAGAACTATATATATTTATATATATATATATATATTTTACATTATATTATTTCATGTGCATATATTACAAAAGATTGCATTACAGTTGTTGTGATATAACAAGTTTCCTCTCATCCTCTAGCTTGCTTCTATGGCAGTGTTGGGTCGAAGTAGAACTCGCCCTTGGAATCGATGACCTGGTCATTAAAAAATCCGGCTATAGACTCTTGAATTGCTTTGAACTGGTCTTGCCGTATGACCTTTTCCTCCAACCATCGAGCCTACATGTTTGAATTAAAGGAAAATAAATTAATATATGTACATACATACATATATACATATATATATATATAAAGACATAGTAACACAATCAATAATAATAATTAAATGAATATATAGTGTATTTTTAACGTACTTTGAGTCTCTCTGTAGGAGTTCTTTGGGAGACCTCCTTGATAAACTTGCAAACATAGTAACCACAGTAGTTGTTCCCCTGTTCCTGCCTCAGACACTACTTTACGAGAAAAAGATTTGTCATCCAATCTGGTGATCCGATGAAAGCTATATGTTTAATTAATAAAGATGATGCGATTTAGGGGACTTACTTTCAAAGGGATTACATTCAGTGGCGCTTTACATTTTCCCATGTGTTGCTTCTCAATAAAGGTTTTCCAAACACTGCCCAATAAAAAATTTGCTACGTCATCAGATATAGTTAATCATCATGTTTGTGTGTATATATAGTTGCTAGAGATACCGAAATTACCTCTGAATAATATCTATCATATCTTGGTAATCTTGTTGTGGTTTTCTCATCGAGTCATAGATTATCAAGTGACTTTTCACCAGATCGATGTCCATCAATATCCAGTGATTGTTGCATGTGTTTATAGGATATAACGCATAACACTCATTAATTAACTAGAATCAACATATGAGCCATTAAGGATGATCGACATTATTAACACTCACTTGAAGTTGTAGGGAAAGAGTATATCCTTCTTGTGGCGTTGGTTCACTAAGAAGTTCATGAGGTTACTCTCCGACTCAGACTTCCAATTAGGCTTTGGAGTAACTGGGTCTTTGAATACTATATGGGGATCAACAAAACCAATTTCATTACAGCATTTCTTTCTGCGCTCTGTCATTAGAAATCTACATATATAAAATACTTTTTAGGATAATTTATATGCATATACACACATATGATGAGTTTAATAATAGATCAAAAAAATTATTACTTATAGGCAATAGCAGCTAATGATAACTTTGTCCAAAGAGGTCAGGTGGCATAGTTGATGAAATTCTGCAAAGTCAACATACATAACATCATCGCCATGGAACCAATGTTCGTCTCTAATTCTGACACCAACACAGAAGTCTCCACCGGTAGACGCCTGCATGTACCACTTGTTTAGCAGGTACATTTACGTCCCCAGATCACCTAAGGCTTGAGAGTTGTATAGACTCTGGCCTAGTATAAATTTTTTCTTCCAAATATCAACCTTCGCCGCACTATCAATGTTTCCATCACCAAACATCTGGTAAAGGTCGAGACCAGTCTCTTCAATAAATTCACCAAGGTGATCCAAATCGACATCCGGAGGTATGTTTGCCTGATGCATTAATCATAAATTCGAATCATATTCATTACCAACAACTAGCCGGGGGACTGATTGGTACGATTGTTGTCCGAGTTGTGCAACTCCTTTCCCTGCCCGCTTCTTTTTCTGTGCCACCTCAATTGACTTGGTGAGAGTACGGTCATAGTCCGTTAATGTTGCTTTGGACGGCTTACAAGATTCCCGCTGTTGTTGCTGGCAAGAAGCCACCTTTTTTCTTAGAATATCTGGAGCTACGAAGAAGTACGGTTTCTCCGGGTTTCTCCTTGCTTCTTGATCCTTTTTAAGTTTGTCATAGAATCTGGACATATCTTTTTTATATGTATCAGTTACTTCTTCCTTCTCTTCAGATATTATTTTGGGAATAGCCCTTGGTTTCACGGTGGCTTTCTTTGCTTGGCGAAATTGGTTCTTCGCTTATGGGCTGGCCTCTTGCTAGTACTTGGCTTCTTGGTAGGCGGGGGTGAGGGAGGCGTTGGAGACCTCCTTGGAGGTGGTGGCAGCGGCGTTGGAGACCTCCTTGGAGGTGGCGGCTGCGGCATTGGAGACCTCCTTGGAGATGGTGTGAATGCAGCCTCGCCTTCCAACACATTGTTATCGTACAGAGCACTATGATGATCTGGCGATTGAACAATTGGACTTAAGTTGGGGGAGGATCTGCTACAAAAAAAGGAATGACATTATTATGAGCAGATTGTTAATTATTTAAGCCAATATAAATTAATGATGTAGTGTTTTCATCCGCACCTATGGTGAGGTAGTTCAGGAGGAGGTGGAGGCGACATCCCGGGAATGATGATGTAGCGCTTGCGCCATAGAATGAATGTCTTCTCTGCTTCTCATAGAGTCTTCTCGCCATCACCTCCAGGAATGTCAAGAGGCAAATCACTAAAACCTTTTTCAGCTTTATCTACCGAGATGGTAGCATATCCTTCTTAGATTATATTCCCATGAATCCTTTGTGTCTTGGTTCGATCGATAGGATTAACAAGACCGATAGCCACCTTGATTATGGAATTCCTCTTCGGAATGTGTAGCTCACACGATGTACAAGGTTCAGTGACGTCATCCACAGGAAAGCGCAGTCCTGTGTCCCCTTGATTTGGTATCTCTGTGGAAGCGCAGCTGCTTTTTAACTGAGCAGGAGGGCTAATGTTGATTCCTGGCTCTGATGCCTGCTTGCTTGCACTCACTGCTATTTGTACTTGCCTTCTTATTTCCTCCTGTATTCTCGCTTCAAGGTTTTTTCCCGCTCCTGCGCTTCACGCACCGCTTCCTCCAACCTCTAGAGCCGCTGTGCCTCTTCTTCCTTCTTTCTCTGGCGGCTTCTGTAGGAAGGTCTATCATGAGAGAATCCATGCTCCCACGAGACACTTCCTTTGCCTCTAGTTCGGCCACCGTGTTCAATAGTCCCGATGGCGTATGTCAGTTCATCCTTCTCTCTGTTGGGCCTGAACGCACCACTAGCAGTAGCTCTCTAAGCATAAAACAATCTTTCGCCGCTTCTTGCGCCTCTTATATAAACGCACTTCCTGCTCTCCGGTCCAAAGTTTCCCCATGAGCGAAAAACCAATTCTTTGCACGTTCTCCCCACTCGAGTGATTCTGGTGTGATACCCTTGGCAAAAAGGTCTGCTTCCATTTTGTTCCACTTCTTAATGGCAGTCGGGTAGCCACCCGATCCCAAGTTATGGTGGTATGTCTTCTGTTGGGCATTACGTTGGTTCTTTATCACCCGACTCA